GGCTAGAAATGAGTGGGTGGGGAACTGACGTAAACAAAAGTTATATGGTGCTTCCCTACATTTGCAACGCGGACTCCACACGGCAGCGGCCAGCCACCGCATATAATGGGCACCAGCGTGGAACCCAGGTATATATCCCACAAGAAGGTCCCATAATGGGAGATCGCAACGTTAGTTCCGCATATGCGGCACACACACACACACGCAGTCACAGTCACCATAATATTATCCCACAGTCATTACACACACACACAAATACCCAAATAAGTGCATGAAGTACAGGCGATGATAACTGGGCTCCCGCTGTGAACCGACGAAGTGGCGGTCTTTAGGGCCCTGCAGCCACCAGGCTCCTCCGCGCGGAGGATCATGGCAGGTATTAGTTTGGGGAAGAAACGAAAAAAAAACAACAACACCGCACACACCATCTTACAACGCGCTTTCACTTTTTTTTTGGAAACAGCAATCGGGTTAACAATCAACAAGCAAAAAAAGTTAACCTACCCGCGCTGTTATCTACTCATCCCCGTCTATTTACACACTTTGTCATAAACTTCTGATAAAACTATTCAAGGCAAAACTTTCCAGACACGACACACAAAACAAAAAAAATATATGTTTTATGGACCTTTTGGGGGATTCATTTATTTGTTGTTCTGCTGCTCTCATTGTTTTCCCATTAATTCATATGCAGAATGTGTCGCCAGCTTACCCACATTTATTATACTGCTCAATTGATTTACCCCCATTTTCTTCATCCGCCTGTCAAACATCTCCCACTTATCACGGTCATAGACCAATAAAAATGACAATAACAATAGCAATAATACTCATCATCATCATTACAGCAAATCTTTTCCCTCAAAGCACAAAAAATGAAATAAAATATTTCATCAACATCATGAAAAAAAAAGGGTATTCATACAATAAGAATAATAACAAGACAAAAGAAACAAAAAAATGCGTTATATCCGACTCCACCCAAAACAAACACATATACAGTCATAACTGTCGCAGCATCTTTTTTTTTTTTTTTATTAGCATAATAATAATAAAAAGGATTAGCAAAGGCAACACAAAAAAAAAGGCGGCAATAAATAAAATTGTACAGAAAAGCACCACAAATGTAAACACAATTCATGCATTTGCAAGCTCCATTTCGCCAGCATCATGGGAAGCCACCATCGTGTCGTCCAACCGCACGAATAGAATATTTGGGTTGGTACAGAAAAGACGAAGCACGGCCTTGATAGTGGCGTTTCCACCTCGCGTACCAGATAGATCTAATGCCCTAATGCAGGGATGACTCTCCAACGCGCGACAAAGTGGCACGAGTGACGTGTCGGAAACGTCAAGATACCTTATCTGAAGTGAAAGAATGGAGTTGCTATGCTTCACCGCCGCGGCAAAGCATATCAACTCGTAATCACCAAACTGCGACAGGCCGTCAGAATCCTCCAAGCTGACACTCTGAGCGACATTCTGCACAGTTTGCTGAATAAGAATATTAATGTCCATGCCAGGCTCAAACTCCTCCAACTCGTACGCATCCAGAAACTCGCCCACACCATCGCTTGATTCAGTAGAGCACTCACTACCAGAGAACGCAAGATACTGGTCATAAACTGCCCTCTTCCCGTTCTTCTTCCTCTTTCGTTTGACCCTCGCAGCCCCGTCTGCTGGTGGCAAACCCGTTTGTGGTAACACGAAACCCCCGTTGGCCGGGGAGCATTCAGTATTCTCCCACATTGAAGCTAACACTTCGATAGACACAAAAGAATATGTTCGGTAAACAAAAAAAAAAAAAGAGCAACCCCCGCCAATGCGCACAACTTGCGCATACACCCCCCACAAGACACAGCAGCCCATGAATTATTTCAAAACATTGAATTCTTGCGTCGTGTAGTAAATAAACGTCCGATTCAATTTAACTTTCGATCATCAGCCTTGCTTATTGGGAGCACTATGCTGGCGAGGATTACCCAGAGAAATTCATAAAA